TTTTTTTCCCCTCATTTTCTTTCTCCTATTAGAGAGGTCAGCAAGGAAGGTTTTGCAAGAGAGGCCTTAATAAAATTCAACCTAAGAAACCAGGAAGAACTTTTCTGTATTGTCTTTAAACAGACATATTTCATTACCAAATATTTGTTTAAAAGCTCTTTGATTCAATACATCTGTCTGTAAGCATGCACCTGTATATTATACTCAAACTAGTTATACATTATACATCAATCCCTTTAAAAATCCATTTTCTAGAAGAACTGATTATTCATTTTGTCATTCAATTTCTGATCATTAAAAATTTCACATGTAAAAGCACTGCCTACTGGTGGGGTATTGTATAAAGAGAGAATATTCTTAATGATTAGCCTGAAGGAAAAAAAAACTGTTGATGGCTCTTCCATCGAGGAAGAATCAGAGACAAATGTCTGAGGAAAATCTTAGACTTGGGTGATATCAGAATGAAGGATAATGGGAGAGTGACCTTAGGGCTCTGATTTCACCTCAATTCTGACGCAGTTACCCACTTTTAAGTAACATTCTCAGTGGTAGAGTGTGTTTTATTCGTGAGTGAAAGTAGCTCAGCTGTGTCCAACTTTTTGCAATCCCATGGACTATAGCATGCCAGACTCCTCTGTCTATGGAATTCTCCAGGCAAGAATACTGGAATGGGTTGCCATTCCCTTCTCCAAGGGATCTTCCCAACCCAGGGATGGAACCTGGGTCTCCTGGACTGCAGGCAGATTCTTTACTGTCTGAGCCACCGGGGAAGCCCATGTTTCATTGGTGGGTAAGTTAATTAAGCCCTCCCCCTGTGACATCAATACATCACCATGTTAGCAAGGACAATAGAAGCACACGGGGCGGGGAGGGGGGGTGGCGGGGTCCAGAGTTTTTACTGCATAGTCATTCATCTGACAGGAAGGTCACTGGGTTGCCAACACTAATCGAAAGAGCTCTTACTTCATGTCTGATTCACATGACTGAAAGAAAGAGAATCCACCTCTGGTCTAGTGAAAGAAATACTTTAGATGGCTTGAGAAAATGTCTTAGTTTGAAAATGTTCCTCTCTCAGTGTCTGACTCTTGTGACCCCATGGACTGTAGCCCGTCAGGGTCCTCTGCCCATGGAATTCTCTAGACAAGAACACTCGAGCGTGCAGCCATTCCCTTCTCCAGGGGATCTTCCTGACCCAGGGATCAAACTTGGGTCTCTCACATTGCAGGCAGATTCTTTACCATCTGAGCCACCAGGGAAGCCTAAGTTGTTTGCTGCTAAGTCGCGTCAGTCGTGTCCGACTCTGTACAACCCTATAGACGGCAGCCCACCAGGCTCACCCGTCCCTGGGATTCTCCAGGCAAGAACACTGGAGTGGGTTGCCATTTCCTTCTCCAATGCAGGAAAGTGAAAAGTGAAAGTGAAGTCGCTCAGTCGTGTCTGACTCGTAGCGACCCCATGGACTGCAGCTTATCAGGATCCTCCGTCCATGGGATTTTCCAGGCAAGCGTACTGGACTGGGTTGCCATTGCCTTCTCCAGTCTAAGTTGTTTAAAGCAGGTTAAATTCCACTGAGGCTTTCCAAGTTGGTTCAGATAAGCTGTTAAGAAAACATTTTGGTCTTGTTGGGCATTCTCGAAGTATTCTGGAGGGAACCTTCTTCTCAGTAAGCAGATCTTACCTTGGTTTGCTGAAAATGCTATTCATTAGGTTTTACAAGGTTGTGCTTTTTACCGGAAAATTATAAAGTTTTGTTGTGGCCTAAGAGGATTTTTTTCTGGGCAGTGATTCTACCAACATTCTTGAGGAACTGCAGTTTGAGCATGAATTGCTAGTTTCTTCCTAACTTCCCAGCACTATCTCCTGAAGTGGGCTCACCCTGGTAATGCCTAACCAATGACACTCCTCCATTGTGCCATGTAATTGCCTTCCTTTGTTCTTTCTTTCATCTGGACTTGCTGCTCTATTCCTCCCTGCATTTTAGCTTTTTCCTGGCCCATTATCATGTCAGACTCCATGTAGGAGTCATGTTCTCTAGGAACCGTCTTTGGAACCTCTCTTCTGTGCCTTCTAAGCCCCCTCTAAGGTAACAATTACATTATTTTTAAATGAGTTTATATGGTAGGTAAATTATTGCTATTCACTTGTTAAACATTCCAGGTTATGCACACCCTTTCTTATTTTGGGTGGGACCAGAAAGTTATGACCAACCTAGATAGCATATTAAAAAGTAGAGACATTACTTTGCCAACAAAGGTCTGTCTAGTCAAGGCTATGGTTTTTCCAGTGGTCATGTATGGATGTGAGAGTTGGACTGTGAAGAAAGCTGAGTGCCGAAGAATTAATGCTTTTGAGCTGTGGTGTTGGAAAAGTCCCTTGGACTGCAAGGAGATCCAACCAGTCCATCCTAAAGGAAATCAGTCCTGGGTGTTCACTGGAAGGACTGATGCTGCAACTGAAACTCCAATACTTTGGCCACCTCATGTGAAGAGTTGACTCATTGGAAAAGACCCTGATGCTGGGAGGGATTGGAGGCAGGAGGAGAAGGGGACAACAGAGGATGAGATGGCTGGATGGCATCACCAACTCGATGGACATGAGTCTGAGTAAACTCCGGGAGTTGGTGATGGACAGGGAGGCCTGGCGTGCTGCGATTCATGGGGTCACAAAGAGTTGGACACAACTGAGCGACTGAACTGAACTGAACTGAAGAAATTGTTTTTAAATGGGGTATAGGGGAATGTATGAAACAAGAATGACAGAATGCTGTAAACTGGTAAACCTGAATGATTGGTACTTTTCTTGTTATACTTTTCTCTCCATTTGTATATCCCTGGAGAAGGGAATGGCTGCCCACTACAGTATTCTTGCCTGGAGAATTCCATTGACATAGGAGCCTGGTAGGCTACAGTCCACTTGTATATAGTTTATATCTGAAGTGTTCCAAATTAAAAGTTCAAAAATTAAAAACATTTTCATGTGTGACAAAATGCATGTAAAATTTACCATCATAACCATTTTAAAGTGTAGAGTTCAGTGGTACTAAATACGTAATGTTGTGTTACCATCACCATCCATCCCCACAACTATTTTCATCTTGTAATATTGAATCTCTTATCTATACCCATTAAACAATAACTCCTCGTTCCCCCTTTCCCTGACAACCATCATTCTACTTTGTTTCTGTGATTTTTGACTATTCCAAATACCTCAAGTGAATGGAATCATACAGTATGTGACTTTTTGTGACTTATTTCACTTAGCATAATGTCCGTGAAGTTCATCCATGTTGTGGCATATTGCAGCATTTTTAAAACCAAATAGTATGCCATTTATGTACAACAGATATATACCACATTTTGCTTATCCATTCATCCGCTGATGAACACTTGGATTGCTTCTACATTTTGGCTGTCTTGAATAGTGCCAGGAACATGGGTGTGACAATATCTCTAAGATCCTGCTTTCAGTTCTTCTGAGTATATACCAAGAAGCACAATTACTGGATCATATGGTAATTCTATTTTTAATTTTTTTAAGGAACTGACATGTTATTTTCCAGAGCGGCTGTACCGTTTTACATTCCCACCAACAGTGCACAAGCATGCCAATTCCAGAGCTAATTTCTATGTGGCTTCAAAAATGTTCATTTAAACCTGAGAGATTAAAGACTCAAAAGGGCAAATTCTTTAGGAAACTCAGTATGATCACATATACACAATACTATGGTTTTATTATAGTAACCACTGTGTGTCTACCCTGTACCACGTACTTCAACACTTTACCTGGATGCTAATCTTTATATGATTCTAATTCTTGTAACCTTTCAAGATAAGTATTGTAACCTCCATTTTACAAATGAGGCTAAAGATTAAATGACTCATCCAAGGTTATACATCTAACAAAAGTGACCCAACCAGTACTTATACCCAGGTCTCACTCCAAGCCTATTCCACAGTATCAAGGGACTATTGGAATTTCGTATACTGCGTTTTTTAAAAATATTTTTCCCCTCTGGTAAATTATCCCCATGATGAAGGCAAAGGGGAAGTATAAACGGAAGTTCCTTTAGGATTAGTCAGGTGAGCAGCTGCATTCGCCCTTATCAAGATTTTCATGGGCTTTGTGGGCTCAGCTGGTAAAGAATCTGCTTGCAATGCCGGAGACCTGGGTTCGATCCCTGGGCTGGGAAGATCCCCTGGAGAAGGAAAAGGATACCCACTCCAGTATTCTGGCCTGGAGAATTCCATGGGGTCAAAAAAGAGTCGGACACGACTGAGTGATTTTCACTTTTCGCTTTGTGGGGGAGTTACATGGTAAACGTGTGGCCTCCACAAGGCAGATAAACGAGGATGAGATGAAGAGTGCGGGAAACGGGTTTCACTGGGTCTTTCAACTTCATTCTTAATCGTTATTTTCGTAGACCCCCCTACACCCGGGCGGGAAAGCGTTCGTGCAAATGTGGCGAGGAAGGATGGGTGGAGGAGGAAAGCTTTCCAGCCAAGCGCAGTTGCCAGGACAGCGCTGCCCGAGCCGCAACGGCAGAAGCTGCACCGCGTCCCGGCAGCGGCTGCGAGCCCCAGTGACGCATTGCAGGTACGAACCAGCCAATCAGAGGAGGGCTCAACGATCATCGCGCTGCGCGTCGCTACTACGATGCTCTTCCGCGCCGCAAAGTAGCGCCTCTCAGGCGCCACTCCACCGGCTCTTCAACGGCTCGCTAGGGAGTGAAACACAGTTACGTCATCCGTTCGTCCCCTTCCCTTTATCTTTTGCATCGTCTATCACATAATTGTGGATAAAAGGGTCTCGAGAGGAGTTGGGAGGGGAGGGGGTTGGCCGGGACTCGTTTATGATGTTCCGTTATCTGAAGTGTGGCGGAGGGATCTGGCGGAGGGAGGTGTTTATGAGGCGCTGGGGGCGGAGGGGAGAATTAGTCCGAGTGGAGCGAGCGAGCTGACTGGTTGTGTGGTTGCGTCCCGGAGACCGGTAGCGCTTGCAGCATGGTGAGTGCGTCGCTAAGCTGCGGGCGCTCGGCCTGTAGGGGGGTAAGAGGCTGAAGCGAACTGACGAAAGGGAACTAACCTTTCTCACACTCTCTAGAAGTGGTCTTCGCCAGGGGGATGGCGCGCCAGAGGCTGGGGGCGTCCGCGGCGGTTGTGTCGCAGGTGCTTCCCAACCCCCACTCTCCTCAGGGAGGTGTCCCGTGGTGTACTGGGGGCCAGGCGCACCGCCCCCGGGACCTTGGGGCTCCTTAGAGGCTGGATGTGGATGCAGCTGGGGCGGGGGCAGTTGGGGTAGGCGGAGGGTTAAAGGGCGGGAGGAGCCAGAGCGCAGAAGCCTTGGGTCGGGCATCTCAAAAGGTCAGCCAGGGGCCGTATTCAAAAGCCCAACGGACGGTTGGTACGGGCGCCAGGAAGCGCCTTTGTCCGCGCGCGGCCGCCATGCGCCGAGGGGGCGGGCGGGAGCGCGCGAGGCCCGGGGCGAGCGCCCGCGCCGCCGTTAGCCAGCAGCCCCCGCGTGCTGGGCCGGGAGGGAGCTGGGGGCGCGCGAGCGAGCGGGCGGGCGGACAAGCTGAGTGGGCAGAGTCCGCGGGGAGCGGCCGGGGGCGGGGCGGGGCGGGCTCGGGACCGCGGCGGTCGCCCGCCAGACCCGGCTCGAGCCCCAGCTGCTGCGCTGGCACCTGCAGGACTGCGGAGGTCTGGGCGTCCCGCGGAGCTGCGGGGTCGTCCGGTAGGGCAACGGTTGAGGAGGGCAGCTCGTCCGAGTCCCATCCCCCACCCCACCCCCTCCCTCCACCCCACCCCCGGCGGCGAGAAGGAAGCTCGGTGAATCCTGATCTTTCTGCTACATATGGGCCTTGAGGCCTAATTCCAGCTCGCAGGCTAAACATTTCTAAAAAAATTTTAAGTGGTTTTGTCGTTGAAGGAAATGACTATATCTGAAGTCAGGCGCAGCCTCGCACTGCGCATCTCGTTAGAGAAAGCCAGAGACTCCAGCTGGCGTTTGAAAGGCGTTTTTCTATTCACTCACCGAAAGCCAGCTCCGGGGTGATTCCCGTTCTGTTGCCAAAGTCGATCTTACCCTCTAGTGACAATCGGAAGGATGCCTTTGACAGGGGCCACAGTCCTCTTCTGAGTGCTCACGTGCACGTTGAAATGTTTAAGATCCATTAACACTGTAATGCCCCGCTCCAACACCCTTGAAAATAACTCCTTTTAACCGTAGCGAAAATGCCAGGTTATTTTTTAGGTGCGGTTTAATTCATTTGTACATTAATGGCTGTCAAAGACTATCGTGATAGAAGAGTATATTGGGGGACGGGATTTTTAAAAAGCATTTTCCTGTCACTTGAGACCGGAACTCCTGTTCTTTCCTGTTTAAAAAAAGTCTAATGAGAGCGATAATTTGCAATACTTATTTTGTGGTTCCTTCTGCCAAGTGGTTACAGGCGATGGGTGTGTCCAGGAGGCAAGGTGACATCTTAAACAGGAGTTGGGAATCCTTGCCAACTGAAACCTCCACCCTGTTATGGGTGTGGGGAGAGGAGTTCACATTTGTTTGATGTACTCGTTCCATTTTGATATTTTAATTATTTTATTCTAAATTTGAAAATGCTGGTGGAATTTATTCTTTTAGGTGAAAATAAGCGTGTAATTAAGGTTCTGAATTGTGGGGTGAATTTTTTTATATTAGTAAATGAAAAATAAGTTTTGTTTCTAATCAGTCTGATAATTAAATCAAGATCTCAGATTTTTTTGATGAGGCACAGTTTGTATCTAACCTTTCGTGGTCCTTTGCCAAAAGTAAGCTCTTGTAATTACTGATCACATCATTACTGTTTTGAGTCATTGTTAACTAAATATTGGGGACTCATCCTTGCCAAGTCACTTCAGTTGTGTCAGACTCTGCAATCCTATGGAGTGTAGCCCTCCAGGCTCCTCTGTCCATGGGATTCTCCGCGCAAAAATACTGAAGTGGGTTGCCCTTTCCTACTCCAGGGGATCTTCCCAACCCAAGGATCGAACCCTCCTGTCTTATGTCTCCTGCATTGGCAGACAGGTTCTTTACCGCTGGCGTAGGTAATTTTATAATTATAAGACTTGAAGGTTTAAAATTAGGACTCCATAAAGTCAAAGAATGAACATTTATTTGATACGGAATAAGTTTGCTCACGTGGCTCTTGGGTTTACACATAGGTGATACATGGTCGTTGAAAGGGAGATTGATTAGTTTAAGAAGACTTGAAGCAGGGGTGATGAGATAAGTAAAAGATGTGAAGACGTGGAACTTTTGGTCACTTGAATCTAAATAAATACCCATCGAACAGCAAGAAGATCTGTTTCTGTTAGATTAAAGAAATTATTTATGCCACTATTAAAGTATTGAAAGTTCTAGGTTCGGGTAGACTGATCAAATTAGGCCTTTAGTAAAGGCCCTAATTTTTAAGTAATTTCTTCTAGTTTCCCTTTTGGGCCAAGATACTGTATAGTAAGTGCTGTTCTATCAGAATTAAAGGTATCTTTTAAATTCTGTTGAAATAACTTAGAGGCTGCTTTTAATATAGGTAAAACAAATGCCCTGACTTCTGAAACTAGAAAAATTTTTGCTTAGCATGGAAGCCTTTGTTGTATCTAAGAAATACTTGGAGTAAACAGGAATGAATGCAAAATGAAAGCTTGTTTCATTTCAAGCCTATGGACTCATATTTATTGAGATAAGAATTTTGGATTATTTTTATAAAAGCAGGTATCCATACCTGCTTTTGAATGCCATTTGGGAAATGTTAAATAGGTACATAATTCCCTTAAGGTCACACATGTAGTCTAGAGTAGTGGACTCTGTTTTTCTCAGTGTTTACAAATCACCTGTGGTTCTCAAAATGCACAGTCTAGTCCAGTAAGTCTCAGCTGGAACCTGAGCATATACTAACGTTTGGGAGCTTTCTCTAGAGTTGACAGTAGCAGTTGAAAGCGATATTTGTAGAAATAAAGGAGTAAGAAGTAGTCATCTCTCTAGTGAATTACTCTTCACTGAGATAAACACATTTTAATGAGCTTGAGTTTTCCCAAAAGTATAATTCTTCCAGTTCTTCTACTAAGAAAATGACCCTATGCATAGACAAAAATAAGAACCACATTTATTTGCATGTCATTGGAAAAAGCTTACAAATTACAGTGCTAGGGAGCTTTGTGTTTTTACTTTCAGTAGTCTTTAGTCTGAAAGTTACTGATGAAGGTTATTTTAAAGCCTTGGACTCTGGGTTAGTAGTAAATACAAAAGGTTTTTTTCTTCCTAAAGCCTTCTCAGCTTTCGTATGTGACTCTTCCCCAAATCTCCTCTGTCTCAACTTGTTGGAAAAACCCCACTGTCTCAGTTTCTGCACGTAGCAGTCATTCTTTCAGCTTTCATATATATTCCTGTGTTTTCCACACTTTTGGGTTAACATTTTTAGTCCTAAACTGATTTCTCCTGCCCCATTTGTTCCTGGGCTTGTGGCCTCAGTTTGTGGAAATAGATTTTCTCATGTTAAGCAAAGTTAAAAAGGAACATGGAGAGTTTGCTGTAAAGGGCTTGATAATGCCCCACCTGTCTACCTTCACTGTGGAAGTTGAACTAGTCAGGTTGGTGTTTATTATTAACATAGTAGGTTCTTTGGTTAATTAACTTACATAAAGTAATTTTCACTGAACTTTTGGGGCTAGCCCTTTATATATAGCTTCTGACTGCACAATGACTCTGCAAGGTAGGTATTAATATTCTGTGTTATAGATGAAGTTGACAATGAGCGGTTGAATAACATGTCCAAGGTCACATGGTGGCAGAGCTGGGATACTAAACCAGTGATGTCTCAAAGCACCATGCTTTTTTTCTTCCACCATGCCATGTTACCCTTCTTGTAGAAATGATAGAAGTCCTGCAGGATGGAATTAGACCAGAGGTAAATCATCTATAGCCTCTAACAAAGTAAAAAATAACAGTGGATGGGTTTTAATTCTTACTCGTAGAGAACACAGTCTGATTTTATACCAAATACTTGGAGAATTGGGATTTGTAAGGCTAAAAGTAGATTCTAAAGACCTTGCGTTTGCTTCAAGGTCAAATCAAAATTGGTCACACAAATGTCTTTTTTTCTGGGTTTCTTCTCAAATGTTTTCATGCTGTCCCCTAGAGAAAATGTGAATGCCATCCTGTATTAAGGTTATTATCCGTTCCAGGGGTGTGTTCATTTAAAATGAAACCAGGCAGTGTTTATTTTTCTTTCATACCAATAAGTGAATGAATTAATCACAGTATTCTTGACTTCCTGTAGGTAGGAATGTTAGCTAGGAAGCTATTTCTTGTCAGTACCTCTGGATATATGTTCCAATAAGCAGTGCATGTCCACGGATGAAGGCCACATGAGGAACAGGGAACCTGGTTATTCTGCAAGTATCTTTATAGTGTGCTCTGAATTTAAAACTTGAGGTATTGGATACGTCCAACAAGTGTTTAATTCTGACCCTACATGTTAGTAATTTTGTACTCCTGCTCCCTGAAACTTAACCTTAGCCTTTTCCCCCATCTGTAAGATAGAGTATTAATGGTATTATTAATACCATTTAGGGTTGTGAAGACTGGATAAAAGCAACATATATAATGGGTTTCAGCAAATGCCTGAACATGCATTTTTTTTTTTAAGTAAAACAAGTAACTTCCCCCCCCCCCCCATTTGCTAAAAACATCACAAACCTTATCACTTTGGAATTTTAAACATCAAAAGAAAATGAATAAGTGGACTTAACATTTTGTAAATAATGTCCTTCAAATATTCAGAATCCTGGATTCTCTGCAGTTGCATGGCAGGTGAGGAGTAAAACTGGTAACTTTCATGTTGCCCCAACCAGTACAGCTTGGATTTTTATCTTTTTGATAGATAAGAGTTTTGCTTAGTAATCTTTGGGTTTTTTGAGGTTTGGAACATCACATGTCCAAGTGAAGTATTTAATCACTTATAGGGAAAGTTTAAATGTAGTTCTTGTTTATTAATTTTTGATTTGGTGGAGATTTCTGGTATTAATGGTTTTTATCTACCTGAGGAGATGAGCTTAAGTTTAGATATACTAACTTTGAAAAAGGAAACAATGCTTCTTTTGCATCTGTCCTTGCTTTAGAAGAGTACAGTTCCAATTAAACTTTGTACTGTTAGTGCGCTAGATTTGCTTTTTTAAAATTTATGTAAAATTTAGACTTTTGAATATATTCTGAAATATTTTCACATCTTAAACTTGGGGGCAAGGTAGCTTAGCTTTGGAGATAAAGCAGAGCGTATTTTCTGCCCACCCATGTTTGGTACTAAGGAGTGAACTAAATGAAGTTGAGAAGTTTATGAAACCAGATGAACTCTTAAGTGTTTTAAAATTTGTTTCTGTAACTGTTAAACTACATACTGTCAAGCCACTTAACTATTTCTCTGATTTCTTTTTAGGCTGACCAACTGACTGAAGAGCAGATTGCAGGTGAGAAATAACTTTGCTAGGTTATACCCGTTGAATTTTATAAATTGAAAAGCCATTCTCAAAAAAAGATATTTGTATGAAAGAATTGACTTTGATCTGTGTAGTAGATGGGAACAAGTAAGTGTACTGTAAGAGAGTAATTGAACCTGCTCTGGCAAGTGAGAAGGTAAACTTGACTGTGAAAGATGTGTGGGGCTAACTGTAGTTAAGAGACATGTTTTAGGTTATGTAGGTATACTTTTGAGCCTGGTGTTGGGAGGCTCTTTGTTTTGTTTTTCTTGAAGTTATTTTTGTCTAAAGATTAATTCTGGACAGTTTTTAACTCTGCAACTTCAAATCAGTCTGCACAAGAAAAGAGGCCAAGTAGTAATTAACTTGAAATGTTAAAATCAGAAAATGAATGTTGAATATACCGTGGTTTAAAGTAGCTGATATTTTAACCTTAGAATTGCATATATGGTCAGTCAATCAGGGAATAACCATTTCTCTAGTGAAAAAGTTAGATCCAAAAGTTAGTATTCTGTTTTATAGATGCAGCAAGTTTGAGTTTTATCTTAAAAGCAGTGACAGCTATTGAAATGAGTTTAGAAGTCTCATATCCTTTAGTTTGCTGTGGAAATGTGAAATTGTTACATAAAACCTGATGTCATGTTGTCATTATGCTGAACCAGTAGTACTTTTGATTTTATTCTAATATTTTTGAGGTGGCTAGTTAAGAAAAGGTTGGGGAAACTTCTAAATGTTTTTTTTTTTTTTTTTTAATTTCAGGGTTGAAATGCTTTTCAAACTATTCCTTGACTTTGATTAGAGACTTAGTAATGAAAGCATCAGGCAGTTTTAACTGCAATGGTTTTCCTGATAGGCAAAGAGTTCCAAGTGCTCAAAAGCACTAAAGCTTTTTTTTTTTTAAAGCTAGAGAAAACTGAGAAACCCAGTTGGAACTCTGGTATTACTTTACTACCCCACACTTCACACACAGACTTGGCAGAGCCAGAAATCAATAATCTCAAATTCTCATCACAGATAATATTTGCTTGGACTGTATAAAGTAGAAAGCTATTAGCATTGAGGACCAATTTGACAGGTTTTTTTATTTCTTACGTGCATTTGACTTAAGCTGGGAATTTGCTGTTTCAGTTTGGTAAATTTGTGTGCATAGAGTATGTTGAAGTAGTCAAGCAGAGCTTTGGAAATGATTTCTTTTGTTCATATATAGTATTTTAGGTGTATTGATGAAATGTAAGTTATTCTGTAATAGTTTTTTACATATGACTCGGACAATTATTTGCAATCTTAAGTTCTTACCTTCTCAAATAGACCTGTCTTCTTTGCCTTTGTTTCTCTGTAGTCTCAGGTAGTTCTGCATGGCACAGCATGTTCACTTTAAGGTAGATAGTGAATTATTCAAAGTGCCAATTACATAGTTGGTGCTCATTACTCCTTTCCCAAACACACATACAACTCTTTAAAAAGTAGTTTGTGTCTGTTAAATACAAGAGGATCAATCCTCAATGGTTGATAGCATTTTTGTAAAGAATACTTAAAGTTCATGGAACATTGTCCTTAAGATAAATTCTGTCTTTTCACTGGTTCCTATCATACAATTAAATTCTAGTGAGTAGCAGAAAAATCTCTTCTAGGTTCTTTCCTTACCCCGCCTTTTCCTAGGCTTTTAATAAAGCTGTTCTTGAGCATCGAAACACGTATATTATCTAGGGTGAAACAGATCACCAGCCCAGGTTGGGTGCATGAGACAAGTGCTCGGGCCTGGTACACTGGGAAGACCCAGAGGGATCGGGTGGAGAGGGAGGTGGGAGGGGGGATCGGGATGGGGAATACATGTAAATCCATGGCTAATTCATTTCAATGTATGACAAAAACCACTGCAATGATGTAAAGTAATTAGCCTCCAACTAATAAAAATAAATGAAAAAAAATAATAATAAAAAAATAAACAGTGCTGTGATGGAAAAAAAAATTTAAAAAAAGCTGTTCTTGGAGCCCAGGTTTTAGTGAACCTCTAAAGTAGAGGAGCTAAAGCTTTTACGCTACTAAAATAAAAATCCTTATTTCCTCTTGTTTCCCCACTACCTCCCACACAGTAAGGACTGAGTAAATATTTCCTGAAGAGAGAAATTTTCAAAGATGTGTGCCACACAGATATGTTCTAAAGCAGTACCTACTCTATACTAACAATTACTCTGCCTCCTCCTAGAGTCCCTTACTTTTGAGTTGCAAAGTTGAATATACTAAGGTACTTTTTCAGTTAGCTTTATCTTCATATGCCGACTGATTTAAAATTCCTCTAGCAGGTAACTTGGCCTAGAAAAATGTACGCTTATAGTTTAAGTGAAGTGCCTAGAATTGTTTATGTTACCCTGGTCTTAAAGAGCAATCCAGAACAGTCTAGTGTGACATCAGTAATAACAAGTGAATTTTGTTGATGACTTGCAATGATGTCGTTAGTTGTTGGTATTTAAAGGAAAAATGTAAAATAATTTTTTTCTTTAAAGAAATTTATGCCTAAACTTTTAAATTTCAGTGTAGGGATAAAACTTACTTGATTAAAAAAAAGTACTAATCTTACTCAATAATAAAGGCCTTTAAAGATTTAAATATATGGCCTTTAAAGGATCATTAAGTTCAGAATTTTATAAATAAATAGAAATTGGTTAACAGGCATTAGATTTTTCTTGTTTCATGATAACCTGTTTTAATAATAATGTGAATTTATGTAAAACATAATTAGAGAGGTATCCTGTGGTTGCTAATTAAAATCTAAAACAAGTAATAATATGACTTCTGAAAGTTTCAACTTAGGCATAGCTAGAATAGATTTTGGGAGGTTCCATCAGTTACATTGAAGAAAGCTGTTCTGTGACAGGACCTGTTTTCTTACTGTGTATTGGAGTTTTGACTCCTAGGTTTATATTTCAAGTCATTTCTGGAAATTACTTGTTTAAAATGATATGCATCTATACATGAAGATTAAACAAGTTCTGAAGCACAGGTGGTGAGCTATAAAAGGCGAATTTAAATTGTATTTTTCAGTTTATTTTTATTTCAGGTTTTTACAGGTATTTCTGCCTGTTGAAATTTAGAACATACATAAATGTGTAGCATGCATCTTTCAGAATAGTTTTTGAAATTAAGTCATTTAGTAAAATGATTGTCTGATTATGATAGTTATATCTGATATTTCTAGACAGTATTTGTACCTCCTGTTTTTTAAAAAACTTGGGTAAAATGGAAGTATTTTCATCAAATTCTGCTCTTTGTAGGAATTAACTGATTTACTTTTGTCATTGAATTGGTCTAGGTTAGTACTGCATATTTTCATAAGATTCAGTGGTTTGGTTCTAAGCTTCTAATATCGGGTGAGTTTCTCTGAAAACAAGTAACATTTAAATGGAGTGGACTGTTTAGCATTGAGAGTAAGTAGCACTTACTACAGTGATACTAGTCTAAAGCTAAACAGTTAAAAGAATCAAAGCAGAAGAAAGTAATGGGATAATCCAAAATGGTAATATGACTCAGGTACTTGTGTGGGTAATTTTAAATAAAGAACCCATTAGGAGGCTATTGTGGTAGTCCAGATAAAAGATGATGGGGCCATAAACCAAAATGTTGGATGTAGAGATGAAAAAAGAATCAGGCAGTATTTAAATAGCAGAATTCAGCAGGCCTTGTTTCAGGGGAAAAGAGTTAAGGTAACTTGCTTGTGTTCCTAGGGTTGCTATATATGGAATTCATTTTAATTTTTTCCTTGAGGTCAGCTAGGGGGAGATGTCCTGTAGGATGTCAGAAATAAAAAGAATACTTTGAGAGAGATGAGTGGACTAACTGAAGTCTTCATCATTAGTGGGCGTAGACAAAATGGCCAAGGAGAGAGAAAAGGATAAGAAATTTGGTCAGATCTACATGCAGGAGACAAATAGCGAGACCCTTTGGCAGTGTAAGGTTACAGGAAAACGACATCATCTCTTTCTTGATATTTAAGTACTTGCCAGGCATAGTTCAATGTGCTTTACTTATATTAATTATTTGGGAAGTAGATACCAAGTGAACAAGTGAAAGTCGCTCAATCGTGTCCAAATTATTTGTGACCCCATGGACTATACAGTCCATGGAATTCTCCAGACCAGAAAACTGGAGTGGGTAGCCTTTCTCTTCTCCTGGGGATCTTCCCAACCCAGGTCTCACATTGTAGGCGGATTCTTTATCAGCTGAGCCACACAGGAAGGTACAATTTGCCCCAAGTAACAAAAATGAGGACGCTGAGGTGGAAAATTTGCCCACGGTTCCATTACTAGTTAGTAGCAGAGCTGGAATTCTTTTAAGCCCAGGCAGTTGAGTTCCCAATTCTTTTAGTTTCTGTGCTTTATGTTTTTGTATTTACTTGCTGATTGAGCCTAATATCTCTATTCCTGCTCGCTTTGTTATTAGCTCATTAATATGCGCTCTTGCACTGTTAAAGTAAATCTCTAGTTTCTCTGTATTTGGGTATCCTAGACTGTTCTAGTAGCTTTCCATGTAATTTAGTGGTGAACTATTGATAGAAGCAACATCATTTCACAATAGTATCTTAAAGATTTTAGGCAATAATATATTTCATTTTGTTGCAAGCTCCGAATTTATATTCTGAAGAGAGGTCTAAATTATTTTTGTTTTCAGTGATAATAACAGTTAAAACTGGCCATACATACCTTTATCATCCCATTGTTAACATCATTACAGATTATTTGGTGATAGTCTCTTCTGTCCTCCAGAAAAGGAAACTAGCTTAATGCATGTTCTAAAGTTTAAAGTTTTTTGTTTTTAATTTAGTAAGTTATTAAATGGACTTAATTTTTACTTTTAAGGATTACTGTAAGTAGTACAGTTGCTGTATAGAAATAAACATACTTGGTAACAATGGTTTCCTTTTCTATTGTGAGTGTAGGTTAGATCTGTAATTTAGAATTGTGTTACACAGAGCAGCTTCAACAGAAAATAACAGAAGCCAGACATTTGGGGTTTTCAGGTTCTGCTTTTTCAACAATAATTTGACTTTTATCTAGTGTAGATTTTGGAGTCCCTGTGAGATTTTAGATGGAAAAAACTCCCAGGTAGATCAGTATGAGCATATGATTAGCTAAAAAAGCTTGAAATACCACAAGGTTTTCCACCTAATCCTTCAGGAATAAAAATCCCATTTCAAGTCCTATCTCCATATAATACCTTTGCTTTGAGAGTTGATTAATACATTTCGCTTAGGTTACTTTATTTTTAACCTGTACATTTTGATTGTGTTTTCTTTTCAAACAGAATTCAAAGAAGCTTTTTCACTATTTGACAAGGATGGTGATGGAACTATAACAACAAAGGAATTGGGAACTGTAATGAGGTCTCTTGGGCAGAATCCCACAGAAGCAGAGTTACAGGACATGATTAATGAAGTAGATGCTGATGGTACGTCTTTTTAATTCTGGGTTTGAGAAGAGGGAGTTGAAGAAGTGGCATTTAAATTCTATTGTAATACAATATTTCAAATATTGTAATATTTCAACCAACACCATCACAGGTAATGGCACAATTGACTTCCCGGAATTTCTGACAATGATGGCAAGAAAAATGAAAGACACAGACAGTGAAGAAGAAATTAGAGAAGCATTCCGTGTGTTTGATAAGGTAAGTATTTGAAACTGGATTTGTTCCGTTTTAATTTGAGGATTTTTAAATATATTAGGATCTCTCTTTGAAGACTTGTTTTTGTGATTATTTGCCAACATACTTTAATATCAAGCAAAAGCTTTCTAAGAATTTAGTGTAGAAGGAGATTTCCTAATAACATTCTTTACCGACTGAGCTATGAGGAAAGCCCAATAGTTGTGTGTGTGTGTGTGTGTGTGTGTGTATAGTATTAGTTTTGTGGCAGAAGAGGTATTGACTTTGGAACTAAGAAATAGTTAAATAAAGGTTTGTGTGGATTTCTGAAGTATATTTTGCTCCCGAATGTGAAGTTTAGTAAACTTCTTATCCAGCTCATTACATCTATAATATTGCTCAGACATTTTACTAAATTTTTTTGTAGGATGGTAATGGCTATATTAGTGCAGCAGAGCTCCGCCATGTGATGACAAACCTTGGAGAGAAGTTAACAGATGAAGAGGTTGATGAAATGATCAGGGAAGCAGATATTGATGGTGATGGTCAAGTAAACTATGAAGGTAAGTCTTTTCACTGTCACAGCCTTATCCTGTGCTTTACTATCAGATTCTACCCTTTTAAAAGAAGCACTGCACTCCAAACTAGGATAAAACAATTTTTGGTAACCATTGTGGAACAGTTTGAAGAGCTTCTTTTAACTTATTTCAGGATCCTCAGAATTAAGGTGACTTTAATGTCTTTCATTGGATTCTCCTTCCCTCCAATTAGCTTTAAGTCTGAAATTATACATGCTTCAGAAGTATCATATATGGTAAACTAAAGCAATAATTTGGTTTATTTGTTAATAATCATAAATAATTTTTGATTTATGAAGAATCCAGCCTTAGCAGTAAATTAGCTTTCCTCTGTACTTTATATAATTTTGAGGAAAGACAGGGGAGTGGGAACTGCTCAGTAGTTGAGTAAGTGTGATTGGTTTTGACAGACTTTTGCCACTGACTCAACATCTTTGTATACTTCTTCTTTTTCAGAGTTTGTACAAATGATGACAGCAAAGTGAAGACATTGTACAGAATGTGTTAAATTTCTTGTACAAAATTGTTTATTTGCCTTTTCTTTGTTTGTAACTTATCTGTAAAAGGTTTCCCCTACTGTCAAAAAAAATATGCATGTATAGTAATTAGGACTTCATTCCTCCATGTTTTCTTCCCTTATCTTACTGTCATTGTCCTGAAACCTTATTTTAGAAAATTGATCAAGTAACATGTTGCATGTGGCTTACTCTGGATATATCTAAGCCCTTCTGCACATCTAAACTTAGATGGAGTTGGTCAAATGAGGGAACATCTGGGTTATGCCTTTTTTTTTTTTTTTTTTTTTGAGTAGTTTTCTTTAGGAATTGTCAGCATGTTGTTGTTGAAGTGTGGAGTTGTAACTCTGCGTGGACTACGGACAGTCAACAATATGTACTTAAAAGTTGCACTATTGCAAAACGGGTGTTTTATCCAGGTACTCGTACACTATTTTTTTGTACTGCTGGTCCTATACCAGAAACATTTTCTTTTATTGTTAACTTGCTTTTTAAACTTTGTTTTAGCCACTTAAAGAAAATCTGCTTATGGCACAATTTGCCTCAAATCCATTCCAAGTTGTATATTTGTTTTCCAATAAAAAAATTACAATTTACCCAACTGTTGCTCTGAATCTGAGTCATTTAATTAATTTGATGTTGAACAATTTTGATAGTCAAATTGGGGGTGTAATTTCTTCTACTTGGTATAATTTAGATATTTAATTTTTTTTTTTTTTTTTACTATTTAAGATGGTGGTTAGTTTTTAGATTGTGATACTTCCTTCAAAAGGTTACTGAAAGATTAAAAAATCTTGTATAAGTGTACCTAGCATGGGGACTGATGTAAGGTAGGTATTCAGTGTTGCCTACTTTTATAATTTTCAGCTTTGGCTTTATTTATCCATATTGACTTCAGCCATGCAGTGATTTTTTTAAATATTTGGGCTTTAAAACACAAAAATCCAAATTGGGGCAGGGGGTAGCTGTTTTACCTGTTTTCTGATTTTTACTCAGTGCTTTTTAATTCTACTACCATAAAAGAAAGAATTTTCTGTTGTGCTTAACTATCTTCAACATGTTTTACAAATAAGGTATCTTCGGTAGTGGCTTGATAGTAACTAAACTTTGTTTTATTTAGAAGTTTTCCTTGCTTCTAAACTATTGCTTTCTTTGTACAAAAGGTGGCTATCAAGATTTCTGTTTTTCTAATTACTTTTAAATACTTAATGAAAGACTCCATAGCAAACCAGAGCCAGGATGAAAACAATGAAGTATATTCCTTGATTATTGTAGCCACAAGGTTTTTAATTTCCTAGAGGGCAATTTGTTTGACAGGTTACCATGCATTGTTGACTACTTTAATACCAATGTTACTCTGCCAGAAAACTGGATGATCGTGAAGGAAAAGATAGGACAAGGGAAGTTACAGGAATTGGTCATCTTAATAGGGTGTTATTACATATTAGGCACGCGATAAATAGGAAGACCTTCATTAGATACGAGTTTCATGTGTTTCGTGTGCTATTGAGGCACAATAATCTCCAGAATATTAAACATGGGCTTATTGAAGCAGTAGTCAGATCACTGCTCTGTATAACCTTGAAGAGGGCAATACTACCTGAACCTCAGTTATCTTACATGTAAAATGGGTGTAATTTACCCAGGTGGTTTCTGACTTGGCTTTTACAATAATCTTAGGTAAAGCACTTAGCATAGAGCCAGACATGACTGAGCACACACACACACAGCACTTAGCATAGTTCTTAGTATTTGTATTGTATTTTATCTATGCTGTTAATCAGTTACGATCCTTGTAAAATGAGGGAATTAGGCAAAGTTAATATTGGTGCTTTTCTAGTTCCAATAGTTTGGAGTTGGTAAGGTGGAAGGGGAAAACATGGTTTGTGGTTACCTGCGTGCATCTCATTGCTGATTTTATATTGTAGTCTTCATAAAAGTCACACAGTTAAGCATTACATAATCTTCCTCAAATCAGAACTATAAAAACCGTTTATTTAAAGTCACCCATATTATGTTTTATATTAGAAGCATCATAGTAATTATTAATTTTTTCTCAAATCTGTAGCATGTTTGCTTTCAGATGGTTAACCAAACTATCACTGTGCAGTTAAAAATGATTCTACAATATGAGGTATTTTATCTAGAATTTTTATTAAAAATCTGATGTATAGCATAGGCACCGTTGATCTCTACATAGTATAATCTTGTATTCACAAAGAGAATGGCCTCCTCCCTTTAAAACTGCTGTTATGGTAACCTGAAAATCAAACAGTATACTGTACAAGACTGTTTTCTTAAGGGGACATTTTGTTTATTCTACATACTTAGTCTGTTTTAATGGCAAGGTCCTTGAAATCATTGACCCATGCTGTTTCTATTTTTGCAGTACCCAAAACTATTTTCTCATCTAGGTGTTCCCTTATATTTCATACCTTCTATGGGTTTCTGGACTTCTCTGTACCTTTCATCATATTCAGTCTCTAGGGTATCAGTCCCTAGTCTGCTGAGCCAGTTTTACAGGCTCAGCCAAAATAAGAAAGTAAAATGAGGCACAGTGATGGACTGGCTTAATCACTTTTGGTGAAAGTTCTGTATTTAACTTGTCTCTTGGTCTTATGACTTCAGCTTTTTATTTCAAACCTGGTGCCTGGCTCCTCCTGCCCTTTTTCCTATTTTTAAGGCTATGTTAAATGAATTTATTGAATAGTCCCAGTATTTTAGGAGAAATTTAATGGTGTCCTCTCTTGCTACCCAGAAAAGTCACCCACACAATCACCTGTGAGAACTTGTTAGAGAATCTCAGTCTGTATTTTAACAATATTTCCAGATACTTCATGTGCACATTTGGAAAGTGCTACTATAGTCCATTTTCTGGTTTTAACTTATAAAAGGAAAACTTCCTGTGTTGAAAGGGCTGAGAATTAGGACAAAAACCTGTTTTGGATATGTTTCAAATTAGGGGAGACATGATTTGTCACAATGAGTCCCTCTATAAAGATAGGCACAGGCTCCTTCAGGTGACTTAGAGGAGTTGACCCTTGAGGGTTGCCAGGCCATGAAGAAGGGAATAGCATTTCAAGCCGAAGGGTCAGCATTTGGGGAGACATGGTGGGTGGCATGTTTGGAATTTGTAAGTATACATCAGATCAGGAGGTTCTAATGGGAAGATGAGACTAGATGGTAAATTTTGCTTTTGTTCTAAAGGCAATGATTATTGAATGCATTGTGCCAGATGGTTCCAGATTTCAATGAAGTTAATCATAATTACCCCATGTGGGTACCAATATATTTCACCTCTGTAGACAAACACAATAAGTCAGCAAATACAAATCCTGGTAAGGGAGAAGAGGGATTCAAGAAGAATGGAAAAGAGGAATCAATGCAGTGATGAAGTCAAGCTTGCTAAGAGCTTGAAAAATCCCCATTGATTTTGGCAACTGAATAACTGGCTAGTTTATTTACTAAGTGCAGTTTTTAACTTAAAAGATGTGTGATGTCAGATTAAGATAGTTTCAGGGAAGTATGGGGCAGGTTAAGAAAGAAATGAATCCACACTGCTCTTGAAAGTGTGACAGGAAGCAGAAACTCCATGGTACAGTAGACGGTTGGGGGCACTGGAGTCAGGCCTGGATTTGAACTCTGTTCCGCCACTGTTGTGTGATGCAGAGTCTGCTGTGCTAAACTGTCCAAGGAAGCCTGTTTCCTCCTTCATAAAATGGGATTGATACCTATTTCACAGGGTTATTTTGAGGATTAAATACATGTGAAGTATTTGGCACACAGCAGGTATTCCATAAAATCAAATTATTAAGGTTGAGGGGACGTTTGTTTTTAAAGATGGAAATGTATATAGGTTGAGGAGCTACAGCCAAGATAGGCTGACAATGAAGAGGGTCTATAAAGAGGGTAAAGGATGGTCTGTGGTTTCACAGACTGTTGTATCTAGAGCTCATGGCCCTTCTCAAAGCAGTGACACTCCCAGAAATTTCCTTCTGGAGGAATTTAGAAACAATCTTAGAAAGTGGATGCTATGGTTTATTTTTCCTCAGCATGGAGGTGATTTGGAAAAGGGCCGATGGAGATCTTGGGATGCTCTAGCTCCTTTACAAGCCTCCTTGGCACAGGCTCTTGGTGACTCCTGAGCCCTCTAGATTTTCTTACCATGCACGGGCGTGACGGTCTTGACCGATATCGCTAGGCTTGGCGCGGGCCCTCCAAGTGTGTGCCTACCTCCCTTCCCCCACCACCAGAGCCAAACCTACTGGCAGGTCTCCTGCGCATGCTCGGGAGCCGGCGGACCGAGTCGCCTCCTGGCAACCGGACGCCAGCCTCGGCCTAGAGTGAAGAGGCAGCAATGGATCAGTCTATCGCCATCACCTCCACCGCAGTAAGGAAGACCTGAGGCATGGGGCTTCTGCCTTGGCCTCGGGAACCGCCTGCCTTCCCTGCCTTCAATTCTCAAAACACTGTTCCCCGTGCTGGGCTCTGCCAAAAACACCAGCTGTCTCTATTCCTGGGTCCTTGGGCCCCTCTGCTCCCTACCTTTACTTGTACGCTTGCAGTCCTTTCTGCCTGATCACTGAGTGCCCTTCGTTTGCTTTTGTCCTGCCTAGCTCTCACTTATCCTTACCCTTCGTGCTTTGTTTTCTGTGCTGGTTCCCATCCTCCACCCCCCATCTTAACCTACTGCTACTTGCGCTGGACAACTGCTTTAACAGGATTCTTAGATTTCTTCGTTTCCCTCCCTCCGCCTCCTCCCCCACTCCCCCACTGTCTGCCAGGGGAATGGGTTTTTCCTTCCTTGGTCTATTGGACACGTTTTTGCCTTGCTTCCTACTGTAGGATTTATAAAATATTGTAAACTGTCTTGTTTAGTTTTTAAATAAATTTGGGCGAGGGATGTTTAGCCTAACTTGAGTAAAGTAATTCACCCCTGAAGTGAATATGAAGCGGGAGACAGGGGAAGT